TTACCTACATATATATATATATATATATATATATATATATATATACTCCTTAAGCTCATTACAAATTGTAGAATTGTAGAGGGCTCTATACTCTAATTCGTCCTTTACTCCATTTTTTAATAAAGCTTCATAATCTTGTAAAAAAATAGAAGAGAAATTGGTATTTTTGAATATTAATATCTTGAGATTTCTAAATATCAATATCTCACTTTAAATGCTACATTGGTATTATCAAACTCTAATATCTCACCAAATAAGTTGACCTACAAGACTTCAGTGGTTTGTACATAACAAAATCGCATTAAAAAAATGGGAAAACATCCTATTATCCCCTATTTTTAATTTCTATATCTCATCAGACTCAATAATTGAAAATAGTATTTGTAAGCAGATGGACTTCATCTTTTCTATCTTCCAACCCCCTAAACCCTTTCGGGCATGTATTATTGACCTCAACAACTTATGAAATGACTATCTCTCTCTCTCTCTCACATCGTCTCTCTCTTTCAAAACACCATCTCTTTCTCACATCATCGTCTATCTCTCTCAAAACTCCATCTCTCTCTAAAACCCAAACTCTATCTCTCTCTTACATCATCATCTCTCTATCTCAAAACTCCATCTCTCTTATCTAAAACTCCATTTCTCTTTAAAACGCAAACTCCATCTGTCTCTCTTTAAAACTCCGTATCTCTCATACACATAAGAAGGTGTGCTCGTGTTCGAGCTCATGCTAAACCTCTTGGCTAGTAAACTCATCGAGAAGCGAAGAGAGAGAGATGGAGTTTGAATAGGGTGTCATTTTAGTGTTTGTTTAGGTAAAAAATTTATGGTCAAAGGTCCAAAGGTTGTAAGATAGGAAAAGATTGAGACCTTTTGCTTACAAATAATATTTTTAATTCTTGAGTCTCTTGAGATATGGACGTTAAAAATAGAGGATGAAAAGATATTTTTCCTAAAAAAATACTAATATTTTATACATGTGATTTTCCAAAAACACACTTTGGCTTTAATGTAGAGGCAAAACTAAAATATGCCCCTCCATCAATACCTTGCTCCTTATACTGTTAGTTAACGATTGGTATGAATAAAGCGAGCAGATTGTACACAAACTCCCCGGGTCAAAGGAGTTACTTAGAGAGTGTTTTTTATCAGAAATTTGGGATTAATTAACACTATATGGTTTTTTTTTAAAAAATGTATTTCGAATTTTTTTAATACTTAGATACTTCTCAATCAAATTTGGACACTTCCAATTCAATATTGGGATGTTGTTCTTTTTTGGAACATAGAGTATGCAATTTAAACTTTATTTTTTTTGAGGTTGGTTGCTAGGTTCGATAGGTTACATCCCTAAAAATTGTGGTCATATAAATACTCATAGCTTGGTTTTTACCTAAGGGAGCAAAAAATCTTTGGAACTCGGTTTGGGCTTGGGACTCTTGCCTACTTGAATATAGTAACTCGAGCCATGCACGTGCCAAGTAACGCGGGCAAGTTCGAGTGGACTCGTCCTAGTGGTGTATATGACAAAAATACCCTAAGAGAGAAAAAAAAGAGGTTGTCAAAAAATCAAATAAAAATATTAGAAATAAACTAAGTGGAAAACAATAAATAAAGTCCAAATAAGATGAGAAAAAAAAAATTAAACATAGATCTAGAAAATTTGATTTATAAATGAAGACATTTTATAAAAATCTCAAAAAAAAATGAAAACATAAATATAGGGGACACAATAGGAGACACAAATTATCATAAAAAAAATCATCATAATTACATATAAAATATTTAAATATTGACTTTATATATTGTATAACTATGACTTTTACTCAAATGTTTGACTACAGAAAGAGCCAAGTCTAAATGATTCGCCCCAGTTCGAAGTTACTCAGTTGAGTCACCAAAATCTATGAGCAAATGGATAGTACACTCCAATGGGAGCACAAAATCCTCACATGTTAATGATATTAGGAAAATTTAACAAAGTACATCTAACATTTTCCTTAGTTTCAAGAGGAAAAGTTTATATGAGGTTACAACCTCATACTATTGAGGTAAAGTGCCCTAAAAAAGCATCTTGAAGAGAGTATTTTGACAATGGAGAAGCCTCTATTTGTTCATTTCGACCTGAAGATGTGTGGATATGAAGAAAATAAAATAAAATCTTTGTAGTAAGTTATTTGAACCGTCTAGTTCCAAGATTTTAAAGTGCTTATAAATTTACTTGATTTATGCGATTTTTAAAATTTTAAATTTTATAACTAGGATAAAAAATAGATTTTGAGCTATCACAAGGTTTTTGACACTGCAACTACATATCCAAACAAAATTTTAGATTGGCGTCTTACTTCTATTGTATAATGAGATCGTGTTATGCAAACCTCTCCGATTTCAAAATGCTCAGATGTACAATAATGAGTTAGAATAGTTGCAAAAGTGTAAAATGTAAAAAATGATGAGGTTTGTATAAGGTGCCCACTTTATATTATACAAATAAGTGTTCCTCTAAATTTTGTCAGAAGATGTAGTTCTAGTGTCCAAACCTTATGATGCATTGGAAATTCATGTTCGACTCCTGTTATCAAATTTAAATTCCAAGAATATGTTGGTTGAGCAGATCTATGAACACTTGAAAATAAACGACTCAGATAACTTCTTATAATATAGGGGTTGAGAAGATCAGTTAGCATAATTTTCAATTTTGGAGCACTATTTTGCTAGATTTTTGAGGTGCACCTCAAGGTTGGAATTTTAAATAAACTTTTTTCATTGTTAAATAGTACATCTCTTGAGGTTGTGATAAAAAGTTTGTATGCTATTAAACCATTTGTCTTTGTTAGAAGGACATCACAATTACCCCTAACCATCACATGTCAAATTGATGGCTTGGGTTGTATCACAAAGTTCGAGAAATTTGGTTAGATGTCAAATTGATGGCCTGGGTCGTCTCACAAGGTTAAATTTTTTTTATTTAGGTTATGTTACAAAGTTCGAAAAAATTTATTTTTGAATTTTGTATATAATCGTTCACACTTTTACAAACCCGATATGAATTATGATTGACAAGTGATCGTGACATTATTGGACAAAAAATAAATAGTCATCGTTAAAAAAAAAAAAAAAATACTCAACACTCCAACAAAAAAAAAAAAAGAAAAAAAAAAGAAAAAAAAAGAAAAAAAAAGAAGAAAAACTCTTTATATACTTTTCCTATGATAAATCCCCTTGATATCTTGATGGCTTTTCATACGAAGCAATGTCAAACAAGTGAACCTTCTGCACGATTTCATGATCCCCTGCAAAAGTCCCATACGGTATGACAAACGAGATCCCAAAAGGGTCAAAAAGCCCAATGGGCTGATTTTTTAATTAGGTCCATTAAAAGAAGGCACCAGCCATATCACAGGGCAAAGCACAAGAGGAAGCAAAACCAAACAGGCCCATAAAAATTAGAAGTTCTGAACATAGAAATCGGGGATTCAATTCAATTCCTTCCCTTTTCCTCTCCTCGTCTTCTTCAAACGCTTCTCTCGTCTTCTCTCATCAAGGTCAATTCCGCCGAGGGTTCTTTGTCATTTCCTAATGGGTAACTATCCCCCTTTTCTGGAGAGAGAGATTAGGGCACGATTTGTATTCTTTCTCTAGAAAGGTACATAGGTTCAGATTCATTGCTAAAGTTCAATCCTTTTGGGTTGCTGAATGCTTGTCTGTCCTTTTTGTTGGTTATTTTTATGAGATTTGCTAAAGTTCAATCCTTTTGGCTTGCTGAATGTTTGTCTGTCCTTTTTGTTGGTTATTTTTACGAGACTTGCTAAAGTTCAATCCTTTTGGGTTGCTGAATGTTTGTCTGTCTTTTTATGAGATTTTATCTCCCTAGTTGTTTCTTTATCTTTGTCAACATAAATCCATATTTACCTATTATTGGTGTGGTGATAATTGAATTGATATTGGTGATCCAGAACGCGACTGAAATGAAGGGCATGGGATACGGTGCTTTTGGTGGAGGAGTTACACCGACGAGCAATGAAATGGGTGCAGAATATTACCAGGTAATCAGTTTCTCTGCAGAGGTCTTCACTTGTTGAGGAAAAGAATCGAGCCTTCATTTGCATGAATGGTTTTTTCAGTTTTTCAATTGGGCCAGATTGTAATTAGGTGTATTTCTTAAACTAAATGATATGTTGACTATTAGTTTTATCAATGTATTTGTTTTTACTTCAAAAAAAGAGAATTGTGAAAGTATTGTTCTCTTAAAAATTTCGGGTTAAATTTCAGAGATTGTGATTACACAGTTTATAGAGATGGTTAGATTGGCTTAAGGAATTCTTTTGATATTTATCGTACTGAGAATTTTAGACCTAGAGTACCCAATGGTCATATTAGTGCTCTTTCTTAAGTGCACAGACTTATTTTCATGGAAACTATGGGATTTGCACATGATTGTTAATTAGGTGAAAATTTGAAGTTGATATGTGCATCCATTGAGATGCTGAATATTACTGTCAGTTTTTTTTGTTGTTTTATTTGCTGTTAGTCCTTGTCTCTGAGTGAAGTTGTAAATTATTGATGCAAGCACCATTCTAATAAATGGCATAGTCCTAGCGCAATAAGGCTACTGATGTTTTGCAATATTTGCTCTGATTTTGTGAGGTACTACTAACAGATCATGTATCTTGTCGAGATTATTTTAGTACTCAGCTTTAAAACTAGAGCAATTAGTTTATTAAATAGTACAAAATTAACCTTTATTAACAGAACAAAAAAGAAGAAGAAGAACTTGTTTTATTAAAGCTTGCAACATTTGTTGGACACTAGGGATCTTTGATAATAGGTAAACTTTTACCAAAATTAGATTCACTCATCCTTCGAATATAGGGGCATAATAACAATGTTGGAGTCTAGACCAGCTTCTTAATAAACAGGTTTCACGCTTATGATTAGTGTGTCCACCATATCAAGACCTTGCTTGAGAAAAGTTCCTTTAGCTTATGTTGCAAGGTGCGAGTATGAAAACTAGCAAATGCTCATATAAAGAGGTAGTGTAGGATCCCATTTGTGACATGCATTTTTTGTTTTCTATGTTTATACCTTATATTCAATTGTTAGAATAATTGTAGCCTTCTATATAGAAGCATCATTTTTCCTAGCTGCTAGCATTGAATTGCTGCTAATAAAACTGAACATTATCCTATTGGTTGACTCACTATTCATTGAAATGGCTCCAAATGGGTCTGGTTAGAGCATCCAACTAGGAAGAACCAACGAAACCCCTTGAACTGCCTTATTTGAGTAGCTTGGTTGTTGGATTATTTCTAAGGAACAAATGGTTGGGGCATTTTAGTTTTGATTATAAGGTTTTGATGGGGCTTTGTAGAGGCCCAACTAGAAATTAATTGTGGACGCTTTGGCAAGAAAAGTGCGACGTACACATGCATTTAGATATGTGCATAGACGTCATTCACACGCGTGCACACACGTGATGTACGTGTCTTGGTGGTGTGATTGGTGGGTTGGCTTAAATCTGCTTTACTCTTTTTAACAATAGTGTCCTTACTCACCACATCGTTTTCTGGGTACTTCTTTTCATTTGTTGGGGGTAGCTATAAAATCTATATTGTATACTAGATGCTGAAGGTCTAGGTGGTATATTAATATAGGTATGGAAGTGCAGGGGAGACAATTGACATATTATGGTTGACCAAATTTTTCAACAAGATTTTGAGAACAAAGAAAATGCTTGACGAATGGAGAAAAAGCATTGTGGTACCTTTTTACAAGAATAAAGGAGAGATATAGAGATGTATGAACTATTGAGGGATCAAACTTATGAGCCACACTACGAAGTTGTAGAAGAGAGTGATTGAGCAATGACTAGACATGCAAGGAGAAATATCATAAAATCAGTTCCGTTTTATGTCGGGGAGGTCAACCATTGAGGTTGTTTTCCTACTTAGGCAATTCATTGAGAAGTTTAGGAATAATAGAACAGAACACCTTATGGTCTTTATTGATTTAGAAAAAACATATGATATGATACATTGGTCTAAGAAGGGTAAGGACTTTAAACTTTCCCTTAACCTGTCCCAAGCCCATGTAAAACTTTGCAAGGCTTTTCATGAATATTGAATCAACATTATCTGCTTATGCTCAGGTGTTTCCCATAAGCGATGTATTGTACTAGAACCCAGGTACATTTATAAATGAACAAGGGCGTTTACCCATAAGCGACGCGCTGCAGCGTCGTCTGGTTACGGTGAAAAATAGGCAAGGTTTCCTGTGTTATTTTGGACAAGTGCAGGTAAAGAAGCTAGTCCAAGAGAATAGAATTCGTCTAGCCACATGGAGTGTAGGAAAGCTTTCAGTTAAAAGTATGGAGTTAGTGGATACAATGAGAAGAAGGAGAGTAAACATAGCTTGTCTGCATCAAACTAAGTGGAAAGGGGAAAAATCTAAGGAAATAGTATAATTTTGGCATATAGAAAAGGCTAATAATAGAAGGTTGCAGTTGGCATACGGATGCATCCATAGTTGTAGAGGTAAGGTACACCTTCAAATTTTATCATGGTATATAATTTTGATGTAAAATGTTCTTAGGATTATCTCAAAATCTATTTTTATATCTAATTATAAAATTTTAAATTTCAAAAATGGTTAAAATCAAGTAGATCTATAAACATATGAAAATCTTGAAAATGGATGGTGTAGATAATATGTTGTAAAATGCACTATTTCTGAGACTTCAAATCTTTTTATTTTTCATGGTCATACATCTCGATGTCGAGATGATCAATCAAAGGGTTTTTCAGCATTAAAACTACTTTTTCCGATGGATTTTTGAGGTGCATTCGTAGTTCTACATTATAAGGTTGCATCCTTATATAAACTTTTTCCATAATAGAAATGACGTAGGCATAGCATAATAGTAGACAAAAATTTAAAAGATAAAATACTTGATGTCAAGAGAGTAGGTGATACGCTTCTATTAATTAAACTTGTATTAGAGGAAGAGATAATTAATGTAATTAGTGCTTATGTACCATAAGTAGGTCTAGATGATAGAATTCAATTAAGAGATAATTCTGGGAGGACATGGACTAGTGCAAGACATTAAATAAAGAGAGGACCTCTTAGGTGGGGACTTAAATGGTCATGTAGGGAAGGATAGTAGAGGATATGAAGGGCTGCATGGGGGATATGGGTTTGGTAAAAGAAATGAGATGGGTGAGACTATTTTGCTATGGACTACGACCTAGCAATAGCAAACACTTACTTTAAAAAGCGAGATGAACATCTAATAATCTATAAAAGTAGACCATATAAAAGCCAGACAAACTTCTTCCTTGTTAAGAAATAAGAAGGTAGATCGATCTTCATGTAAAGACTGTGAGGTCACCCCGGAGGGAATTTGATTGTGTAACATAGGCTCGTGTTATGGACGTACGCATAAAGAGATGGAAGACAAGGGGTGAAATTAATAGGTGTCTAAGAACTTGGTGGTGGAATTAAAAAAATGAAAAAATAGACTTATTTAGGAATAAATTACTTAAAGAAGGAAAATAGAACTCCGAACATGAGGATAATGTTATTTGGAGTGAGATGATTGTTTGCATTAAGAAAGTGACAAACGAAGCTCCGGAGAAACTAGAAGAAAAGCGGCAAAAGAAGTTTTAGGAGAAACTTGAAGAAAAAGGAATTGTAGGAAAAGAGCCCAGGCTTAATTGGTTAGCCCATGATGATTTGCAACGCTATGTCATAAGCTCAATTCCTACCAGGGTAGGGGCCCTCTCCCTACTAACTCACCAAAAAAAAAAAAGAAGAAAAAGAAATTCCAATAAAGAAACTTGGTGGTGGAGTGATGGGGTTCAAAAGGCCATTAGCAAAAAACGATTATGCTATAGAACTTGGCAATGTAATAGAAATGATCAAGACTTAGAAGAATATAAAAATGCTAAGAAAAACGCTAAACAAATAATAACTAAGGCTAATTTAACACTTCTTAAAAAAATAGCAAGTAAAACTAAACTTAAGGTATATGATAATCTACACAGTAAATTGGGAACTACAAACTGTGTAAAAAATGTCTTCAAGTTAGCAAAATGAGAGAGAAAAAGTATAGGGATCTAGACCATATTAAATGCATTAAGAGTGAGGATCAAAAGGTTTTGGCGAAGGATGAAGAGGGTAACAAGAGGTGGAGAGTTTATTTTAAAAAATTATTAAATGACGAACACAATGGGAACCTAGTGGTAGAAGGACCTGTTGGCATAAATGAGGTCGGAGATCATAGATATACTCGTAGGATTAGCACAGCGAAAGTCAAAGAAGCTTTGAAGAGGATTGAGATAGGAAAGGATTTCAGACCAGATGGTGTCGCGATAGAGGTTTGGAAGTGCATGAGGGAGATCAGCATAGACTGGCTGACCAAGTTGTTCAACAAGATGTTGAGAACAAATAAAATGCCGGATGAATGAAGGAGATACTTATTTATAAGAACAAATGAGAAATATAAAATTATGAGAATTATTCAGGGATCAAACTTATGAACTCCACTATGAAACTGTGGGAGAGAGTGATTGGGTAACAACTAAGGCATGAAGGGATTGTATCAGAAAACCAAGTCGGTTTTATGCCAGAGAAGTCAAATTGAGACTATTTGCCTACTTGAACAACTAGTTGAGAAGTTTAGAGCGAAGAAAAGACCTTTACATGGTCATTATTGATCTAGAGAAAACTTATAATAAAGTACCTTGAGATTTTATTTGGCGGGTGTTGGAATTTTTTTTCCAAACTAGTCTCTAGTAACTATATCAACTTGGTGAGAGCTATGTACGAGGGAGCACTAACTAGTGTGGGAACAACGAGTGAAGAGACGAGTGAATTTTTAGTGACATTAGGTGTCTATCAGGGGTCAACATTGAGCCGATACCTCTTTGTCTTAATTATGGACGAATTAACTAAGAACTTATAAGATGAGGTGTTGTGGTGTATGTTGTTCGCGAACGACATAGTTTTGATTGATGAGACCTGATGCAACGTCAACACAAAGTCAGAACTTTGGAGGGATGCACTAGAATCTAAAGGTTTTAAAATTAGCCGGACTAAGATAGAGTATATGGAATGCAAGTTTAGCAACAATAGGAGTAGAGACGAGGAAATAGTTGAGATTGATAGTTAAGAAATACAAAAAAAGCATTTTGAAATATCTTAGGTTGATAATCCAGGAAAATGAGAGATTGAAGAAGATGTCGCACATAGAATTAGAGCTAGGTGAGCGAAGTGGAGATGTGCAACTGGAGATTTATGTGATCATCGCATTACCAATGAAGCTGAATGAGAATTTTATAAAACAGTTGAAAGAGACCAACTTTGCTTTATGGGGCGGAATGTTAAGTGGTCAAGAAACAACATATCCATAGGATGAGTGTAGCTGAGAAGAGGATGTTGAGATGGATGAGTGGCAAGACAAGAAGGGATCCAATTTGAAATGAATATATTCAGGTTAACTTAGGTGTGACACTAATAAGAAATAAGATGAGAGAAAGTAGATTTAGGTGGGCTGTTCATTTGCACAGCAGACATAGTACAACACTTGCTAGGAGGTGCGAGTTGGTTCAAGTGGAAGGCAAAAAAAGGGCAAGGGGTAGGCTCAAAAGGACATGGTTGGAAGTAGTGATAAAAGATATGGGGATCAACCTCACTAAAGGTATGGCCCTTGATAGAGTAAAATGACAGACCAAGATTCGTGTAGCCGACCCCAAATAGTTGGGAAAAGGCTATGATGATGATGATGATTATACGATATTGTACATAGAGAGTTAATTTAGTGGGTGTTGGAAATGAAAGGAGTCTTTAGAGGATATACTGACATGGTGAGGGATATGTACGAGGGAGCGCTAACTAGTGTGAGGACAACTAGTGGAGAGGCAAGTGAGGTCAGGGACAACAGTCTTACATCAGGGGTCAGTGCTGTGCTCATATCTCCTTGCTTTGCTTATGGACTAGTTAACTAGGCATCTACAGGATGAGGCCCCAAGGTGTATGTTGTTTGCAGATGATATGCTTTAGAAAGTCTTAGACTAGAGAATAAGACATAATATATGGAATGCAAGTTTAGTAATAATAGGAGTAGAAATGAGAAATTAATTAAGAATGACGGCCAAGAAGTACTTAAAAGAGATTATTTTTTGATACTTTGGGTCAATAATACATGCGAATGAAGAGATAGAGGAAGATGTCACATATAAAATTAGAGCTGGGTGGACGAAGTGGAGCTGGGTGGACGAAGTATTATGTAGGTATCGTATATCAATAAAATTGAAGGGAAAGTTGTATTGGACGACTGTAAGACCAACTATGCTTTACGGGACATAATGTTGGACAATCAAGAATTAACATATTCATAGAATGAGTGTAGTTGAGATGAGGATGTTAAGATGGATGAGTAACATGACAAGAGAGGATCGAATTTAGAATGAATACATCCGAGGGTACTTAGGAGTCACTTTAATAGGTGATAAGATGAGGGAAGTAGACTTAGGTGGTCTGACCATATGCTGTGTCGACCTAGAACAACACTGATTAGGAGGGGTGATGTAGTTCAAGTTGAAGGCTCTAAAAGGGTTAGGGGAAAACCCAAAAAGACATAGATGGAAGTAGTGAGAAAAGATTTGGTGAATTATAGTCTGATTAAGCGTATGACCCTTGATGGCAGAACATGATTCGATGGTTGACTCCAAATATTTGGGATAAAGCTCGAATGATGATGATACTAAACGCAAACTTGAAGGGGGTGTATGCGTGTCCAATTTTTCCCGAAAAGTGCCTTACTTAAATGCCTTTATTCCGTAAAAGACGATTCCATTGTTTTAAATCCTGCTCCTTTGTGATAATATAAGCCAAACACATGGTTTTAATAAATATATCTGAACTTTAAATATTTAACTTTTTTTTGAAAATTTATTACCATTATATTTTCTTCATAAAGATCTTTCGTATCTAAAATATAGATCTCTCTCTCTCTCTCTCTTTTGTGCCCATGCTCATGCATTTCTTGGGCTGCATCTAGCATACAAACTCCTTTATAGAAATGGTCGAAATTTATTACTAAAAGTGGGTTTGGAGGGTTGCATCTGTCAGTTTGTTTATAAAGTGCTCCTGCTAAGCACAATTCTGAATAGAATGACTCCTTGTTATGGTATTTTAAATTCGATTATGCCCTTATATGAAATAATAAGTTTTTGTGGAAAAATACTCCTTAATAACCACATTAATTACAAGTTAGTCAAGTGAAGACTTTCAAAAGTATTTTTGAATTTTAAATATTTTGTTCTTTCTTAAATTTTACTATATCAAAATTTCTTCATGAGAATATTTTTTTATCATAATTAGTCTACTTCGAAATAGTTATTAACTGTTTTGTCATTCATATGTGTACCCATGTATAGCATGAGATTGAATGATGGTAAATCATCTAAAGAGAGGTTTGACATGCGGCCATCAAAAGACATGGTTGCCTTCACATACATGGCAAATTTTAATATATTGAATTCAACCTTATTTTATGGGTTGTTTTCCTTTGGCAAGTAATGGAAAAATACCCCTATGCAATAGTGTTTTGCAGCATGTATTGAAGAGAATGTGATGCCGACAAGGGGTATCTTTTGTGTGTGTGTGTCGATGTGCAAATGTCTGCACATATGTGTACACATCTATATGCTGTATGGGATATAGATGCAAACAAATGCATCCCCATACACATACGTATTTACATGTGCACCCCCTTGCCTCTTCACTGGCTTGGTGCTTTCTAGCATGCTTTATGACACTCTATACATACTCAAATTTAGTGATAGATGTATGAAGGTCGTAAAAGGAATATGAAAGGCGCTAATATACATCTTTCAGCTGATATTTCTTTAAGCTGTAGTGCCAATTGCCAATATCCTCTATTGGATGAAGTAAGCTCCAGTGAGTCTGCGTTCTTCAGTGGTCATGATGAGTAAAGCAAGCTCGGGGTGGCCTAGGTGGCACGTAAGATATGTATAATCTTGACATGTATCTGTCTAGGTCCTTCAGGACCCTTGTTAGGTGCCATGTAACTTGTATTCTCATCTATAAATGAATTTTGACACTGGAATCATCTAATCCATCCTTAGTTTTTTGTTTCCTTAACCATAAAACATGGGGCTTGTATTTGCCACCATGCTTTTTGTGATCTCCCACTTCCTCTCGAGTGATGCTCTAACCCACTAAAGGATAAAACGACCTAATATTGGTCTCTATGGGATCTCTTGCATTTCCTAAGGCCTTCCTTGTGAGGAAACATTGACTAAATCTGTGCTGATCATTCTAATTCTATGTCAGGATTTAATGGTGTTGAACTTTTTCATTGATACCAAGAACGGTTTCGACTCTAACAGCCTTCTCCAGTCATCTTATAAATTGCCTTGACAAAAACCCTTATCAGATGGTGTACCACCCAGTCTGCCCTGTGAAATTGACTCCAATAGGGTCCTTTCAACCATCTGCCAATGGTTGATTATGTTATTGTAGGAAAATAATAATGAAACCCAGTCCATGACATCGTTCTTTTTTTTATTTAAAACTATTACTTTGAAATTTAGAATGCAATCTGGGGTATCTCATGGTTTCGTCCATGAATGATATTGCATGAACATGTGCATTGGCGACGTACCCAAAGAAAAATGTGTTTTATGAAGGTTAAAATTCTCTAGTTGGTTAACTCGGGGCCAAATTGGTTCAGTATATAATCAATTGCGTAATGCCACTGTCTGTAATATAAAACTGTGTTCAGTGCTGTGCCTAAATTCACATACTCATCATTCTTGTCCTCTCACATGGAGTCAATGAGACATGTTGGTGATGGCATCAACTCTGTCTGTTGCATCAGTCTCTTTGTGTAATTTGTTTCATGTGGAAATGCACTTGCATTCTAACATATGTCCTGAACAACGTAACATATTTTTCATTCAAGGGCTGACCTTATGTATTGTTTTGAGCACTGCAGGCCTCACATTCATCCCTAGGGCAGCCATCGGCATATGGATCCTCAAATACTCCAGGAATCCCTTTCATTACCACAACAGCTTCTAACCCGCCATGGGATTCTATACATAAAGGAGAGAGCAATGCTTCTGAGAATGGTGTTTATTCGAATCCTGTATACTTCCATAATCAGCAAACAGAGTTGACTAATTCAAGGGATCCTCAGGATGGTGGTAATCTGGCACCCAGTGCCTCTACTTCTGCAAGTTTGGTATCATCAAATGGGGCGCATGATTATGCTGGTTATTCATCTTATTCAACTTCTAGTGATCCATCTGGATATGGCAACACGGGTTATCAGAGTTATTGTTATGGCTATCAACAGCAAGGTAACACTTCTTACTCTCAGCAAGCGGGAGCATATCAAAATTCAGGTGTTCCTTATCAGCCTGTTAACTCATTTCAGAATACAAGCCCACATGTGGGTCCCACAAGTTACTCAGGCACTTATTACAATCCTGGTGTGTATCAGACATCTGGGGGATATCAGAGCACTGGCTATAATAATCAGTCTAACTGGTGGAATGAAGGAAATTATGGAAATTATTCTCACTATCCTTATTCCAACTACACTGCCACCGATGCAAATGGTCCACAAAATTCTAATGTCAGTGCAGTAAATCAGCTTGATTATCAGCAAAACTACAAACAGTGGGCAGAGTACTATAGTCAAACTCAAACCTCATCCGATGTTAGCTGTGCACCTGGGACAGAAACCACTCCTGTTACCACTGCTCCCTCATCTTCAGATTGTCCAATTCCTGGTGTTAGTGGTAGCTATGCAGTTCCAAATAACAGCCAGCCACCACCACCTGGCACCTCTTCTTCATGGAAGCCTGATGTAAACTCATCTGAAACACCTCAATTACAGGTTCAGATATGCTTTTAAACATTTTCAGCTTCATATTTGTTTAAGTATCACTCCATATCTTGGATACCCCACACACACATGTCAGCCATGCATGCTCATGCATGCATGCACACACTCTCTGAGAGAGAGAGAGAGAGAGAGAGAGAGAGAGAGAGAC